TCCGAAACCCCCATGAACCACCTCAAAACCTGCACTTGATGTACCTACATGGCCATTAAGATCACCTCCTATAAAGAGCTTCTCGCTACTAGGGACAGCTCTAACCAAGCGATCTAAGTCTTTCCAGAAAAGCCGCTTAGCACTCACATCATGACCTACTTGGGGGCATACGCACTAATTATGTTTAAGACCATATCACTAATGACAAGTTTAACTAAGATGATCCTATCCCCTTGCCTTCTCACCTCCACCACACCATCTTTGAGGCCCTTATCAATCAAAACTCCTACTCCATTTTTATTTGAAGTTGTCCTTGTGTACCAGAGCTTAAAGCCGGTATTGTCCACCTCCTTCGCCTTCTGCCCCTTCCATTTAGTCTCTTAGACGCATAAGATATTTACACGCCTTCTAACCGCTGTGTCCACTAACTCTCTTAACTTACCTGTAAGGGACCCTACATTTTAGCTACCTAAATGGATCCTAGTTGGCTCGACAAGCTTCCTTACCCTTCGCACCCGCCGAGGTAGGTGTGAAAACCCTTACTCATTTTGCATCACACCCGGGCGCCGATGTGGCGCGCCACTAAGGATGCGACGACCCGATCCTTGCTCACTTGACACCGTGTCCAGATCATGACACGGCACGTCACGGGGGTGATGACCTGGCCCTTGCTCATTTAACACCATACCCGGGTTCCGATATGGCGTGTCGCTAAGAGGGGTACGCCCCAACAGGATTCTTTTGGGTTTTATCTCCATTAAAGTGGCTAAGTTTTTACATTGGCTCATCGCGTCTAACACAACCCTCCTCCTTTACCAGGGCTTAGGACCTGTTATGCTGGGACACCAAAGGCGCCCCACCATAGGTGGAGTTATATGCCATATCTCAGGAGAAGACAATTTTTCCAGCATCAATGGCATTGAAATATGATGAACCCAGTATAGAGAGCTCCCGCTCTGTGCGGGGTTTGGGGAAGGGTGTCAGTGGCAAGCCTTACCCTTGCCTGTGCAATGCGGGGTCTATGAAATATGATGAACCGAAAATACAAAATAGCAATGGCATGGAAATATGATCAGGTTTATCGGATGCACCTCATACACATTGTTATACACTGAAATTGGAATAGCTACATCATCAACAATGGCATATGTTCAGTATAAAATAAATAAATCAGCAGCATAGGCATATGCATATATATGTTGAAAAGACTACAACAGCAGCACAATGAAACTCCCTTTGTCCCTGAATCGTAGATGAACCCTAAGGAAGAGAAGCAAGGAAGCTGAAATCAATTCGGAAAAACAGAAACGAAACCAGATCAGAAGAGGTAGCAAGCATGTAACCAATTTGTAGCACGTGTATAGGTAGCTAGGGTTTCGACAACCAGAGGAGCACACGTTCCCTAGTGGGAGGAGGCGTTGATAATCCCGTGCGTGGAGGATGGGGGCCCGCGCCGGCGCGCCGCTCACAGGGGGCACCGCCGTGTCACGCCCGCCGCTGCGTCACGCCTGACGCCGCCTCGGACTGGAAGGGGAGAGAGAGGAAGGGGAGGGAGAAATGGAGGTGAGAGGCAGGTGAGGGAGGGCTGAGGAGGAGGAGGAAGAGGAGGGGCGGCGTCGCGCTGCCCTCATCGGAGAGAGACGGGGAGAGCGAGAGAGGAGAGAGGAGGGGGCGAGAAGCTGGATGGAGAAGCGAAAGCTGGGATATGTATTTGCTTCTCGGGATTCGGAAGAGAAGCGGGGGAAGGCGAGAAGAAGCGGGAGAAGCCAAGGAGAAGCGCGAGAAGCCGTAGTCGACATAATCTGCTCTAAGCGATCTAGGCCGCACGATCGAAGATCCGACGGCTGAAAAAAATTGGAGTGACGTGGACACGGCTTCCTTTTGAGAACCCCACGCAATCTTTAGAGTTAAAATTCAGAATGGATCTACATTCAGAGACTTTTAGATATCGCAGCAACCAGAGAGCCATGAAGGAGCCCTCACATATGTAGTAGGCTACCTACAACATGCCAACGTTGTAGATTAAGAACCATCATCGATGACATGAAGCGTTGCTGAGCACTTCATCTAGGCGCATGGATTCTTCCTGCCGTCCGATCTCCCTATGAGATTGATCGTCAGGAGCTCCAAGCCATCTACTAGATTAGTGTTCAAGGTGTAACCATGATGGCATCTACATGCACCACTCAAATGCATATCACTATGATTAATCGCCATATTTTCCACTTCATCATTGAAACTTTTCACTATGCTTTTATGGTACCAGCTAGATTTACATGAAAGCCACGATTAGGAGGGAATACCACATGCAATGATGATCGTCTTTCTATTTCTATTGCTATTACCAATTCAAAAGAGCCACTCAAACTGCAATGAGTTGGGTATGTTTATAGTGATTGATTTTCTTCATCAACCGGAATGAGGTAAACACTACTACTAAAAACTTTTCCAAGGCGGGCTAAAAGGATTTTCTGAGGTGGACATCACAACCGCCTCGGCCAAAAGGTCATGACAAATAAATCTTTACCGAGGCGGTTGAAATGCCCGCCTCGGTTAATCAAATTAAAAAAACAAAAAAGAGAAAATTCCAAGGATAGGCCCACCGAGCCCATCCACACGCTGCTGCCGCCGCCGCTCGCTGGATCAGGCCTCCCCACCATCGGATCCGGCCTCCCCACCACCAGATCCGGCCTTCGCAGGAGCGCCGTGAGCCCCCAACGTCGCAGGATTCACCGGGGCGCGTGGATGGCTACCACCTCGCGTGGATCTACCACCAGCTCGCCGGATCCGCCACTCGCCCACCGGATCCGCTACCCGCTCGCTGGATCCATGCCGCCAGGCCAGAGGGAGCTCGTCGGAGGGGCGGGCGCGGCCACCAGCGTGCCGCCGGGGCATCAGAGTTGGATGGGCCGGCGCGGCCACCCGCGTGCCACCGTGGCGTCGGAGGGGCGGGCGCTATGCGCCGCTGCTCACTTTGGAGAAAGGGAGGGAGAGGATTAAGAGAGGGAGGGATGCGCCGCCCCGCTGCTAGCTCTGGAGTGAGAGAGGGAGGGTGAGGAGTGAGAGAGGGAGGGAGAGACTGAGGGAGAGGAGGGATGCGCCGCGCACTGTGCACTCTGGAGATGCGCCGCACGGATGAGGGAGAGGAGAGGGAGGGAGGTTGACTGGTGAGTGGGCTAGGGTTTCATCTCGGGTATATATATTGTAGTGTTGTTGTTGGGCTAAGATGGGCTGAGATGGATGTGAGTGGGCTCAACCACATTAACGGAGACGGGCCTTTTTAGGGGCCCGCCTCCGAAAATGGAGGCATTTAGGCTCGTCTCGGTTAATAGATTTTAGGAGGCGGTTTGTAAAATCATTTGTATAGTAGTGAAAGGTACTAGTATTTGAACTACATACCTTGCGACCTTATTTACCTCTGAATGTGCCATGTGATTAGCAATGAGCATGCTAACAACGAATTGACCAATGGTTATGGACAATGCTTAGTAAGGATGTGTGCAACTCATAAGCTTTAGGTCCCTAATGTTGAGTAGCCTAGTGAAAATGACCTTTTTCTTCGGTTGATCGAGGTTGCAAAAAGAGGAATTGATGAGTGAATACAATTCACCGGCATTACTATGATCACTAGTATGGGTCCTATGAAGGAGTGGAGGGAGTCCATTTAGTGGTTGACCCATGTCCATATGCACTTGATGTAGAAGGAACAAGAGAGTGGCGATGGAGCTCTTAGCTTAAGTCACGGTGAAGATTGGGTTAGCTCTGGGGATTACTTTTTTAGAGACTCAATTTGTCTCCTCTCCTCTCCTGAGTCTCGATATCAAGGGCTCTTAGTTCCCTTATATATGTTGAAAATTATAAAACAGGGCTTACCCTAGTACAAGGTGGGCTTTCTTTGTGCTTTAGCCCAATTATATGGTCTAAAACATCTTTTTGTGAAAGGTGGTTATGGGATGGTTGAGCCTTGAGTTGTTGACATTATGTATATATTTTATAGCTGGTTTCCATTGCTGCAGGATATGACGAGAGTAATAAGTTCCACAATACTTCGTCTATATTCCACAATATAGGTTGTTTTAGTTTTATGTTAAGTCTAACCTTTTTGCAACTTTGATCATATTTAAAGAAAATGGGACCAAAAATCAACAACACATTTGGTTGGAGGGAATTGTTAGAAGGGAATGAGAGTTAAGAGATGTGTGATTAAAATTCCTTTGATTGGTTGATAGGCATGGGAGTTCTTGAGGGAAGGGGGAGAGGAATTCGTGGGCCTCAACTCTCATCTTTTAAACCCAGGAAGAAGGGTGTGAATTGAGTGAGAATTCCTTATCAACATAAGATGGGCGTACCTTCACCGTTGATGATAACTTAAGTTACAATTTCTCATTTCTAAACCCACCAACCAAACAAAGGCAGAAGAAACTCCCTCTTGAACTCTCTCTTAATTTCCAGCACATGCCAAATAGGGGATTGAGAGTAAGAGTATAATGGCCTGTTTGCTTGAATTTATCAGCCGGCTTATCAGCTAAAATCTACAGTATTTTTTCTCACAACAAAACAGCTTCAGCCGGCTTATCAGTCGACTTTAATATCAGTCGAACATGCCCTAAATCATACTTCCACGTCAATCCCCTCCCACCTCCAATTCCCTGTGAACTTGCCAAACACACCGCAATAGAATTAAAATAAAATGGTTTCATTGAATCTATCATATAATATTTCAATACCAAAGAGAGGAGAACCCCTGAAAATAAGATATATATGAGAAAAAAAAACGAAAGTAGTAGGAGTAGAAGTTATTAGAAAGAAAAAAAAGGGGGTGAAAAGTAAGCAATTTAAACCCACACACCGGTGTGTGGCGGTCGGAATATACCCGGTCGCTCCCCCCTCGGATCCTCCTCTTCTCCAAATGAATCCCTCGCCCACAGACCAAACCAAATCCTCCACCTCCTCCATTTCCAGCCCCGTCCCCACTCCACCCCAGCTCGCGTAACCTCCAGATGGCCGGAGGAGGCGGCGGCGCAGGCGCGGGCTCGGGGTCCGGCGGCGGCGGCGTCGGAGGTGGAGGGGGAGGGGGCGGCGGCAGGGAGGGCGACTGGGACTGCGGCAGCTGCGGCAACCGCAACTACGCCTTCCGCTTGCTCTGCAACCGCTGCAAGCAGCCGCGCCTCCTCGTCGACCCCAACACCCCGCGCGACTCCAAGTGGCTACCCCGCGCCGGGGACTGGATCTGCACCGGTAACGCCTCTCTTGCCGCGCTACCCTCCATGATTACCCCACCCCTGAATCACCCTTGATGTAGATGCAGGCTCTCATCCACTCCTTATGCAGCGCATTGATATTTAGTGAATCTAGCATTTCTTCTTCTCCTTGTTCATCCTTCGTGTTTGTTTTAAGCTTCTTACTAGAATCTGGTATGTCGGTGTGTAGCCCTGGTAATTATTGTAGCCTTCTTAGCTAGACTTTTTTCTAGTCATGCAGAGAAAATGTAAATATAGCAAGTTAGTTGCATTTTAAATGATGGGTTTAAAAACAGAGCAAGTGTAAATAAAGGAACTAGAAACTTCATTTAAACTAAGAAAGGAAAGTCTAAAAATTATTTGACCACCTCTCCTTAAGCTTTCTATGCAAGCCAGGCTACTCATGCTCTTTGATCTAGAAAAAAAAATGTGACCATACTGTATCTCTCTCTTGAAAGCATTGCAGTTAGGGTATTTATTAGTACTATGTCCAACTCCTAGAAGTATCTTTTGGATCATTTTTGTTTCTGCTTCCATTTTTGCTACTACCTATTGGAAATTTTTTGATTTCATGATTCCTTCTGTTTATTTTGTTCATTGAATGCTACTGTATGTGGATAAGATTAGAAAAAAATTACCAATGAGTGTGCTAAGTAATGACTAGTGTGCGTGTGTCTATTCCTTTCTATGGGTTTGTGCGTGATGGCTGGTCATGGTGGTGGTGGTGGGTGTGCGTGTGCTTCGGTGCGTTTTGCTGCCTACTGTGCTGGTTGGTTTATGCGGCAAATGGATGAATAGGTTGCAGTAACAATAATTATGCATCCAGAAAGAACTGCAAAAAGTGTGGCCTGCCCAAGGAGGAAGCAGCAATGCCAGCATTGCAAATGGCAGGGATGGCTATGCCAGCTTATGCAACTTATATTGCAAGACTACAACAAAGCCTTGCTGCTTCTGCTTCTGCCTATAAGATGAACTTTGGGATGGCTGCCAACTCACCTTTGCAGCAGCAACTACTTGCAAATGCAAACTGGCCCTATGGGATGGCTGCTAGATATGGGATGCAATCTTCTGGTTGGCCATTTGGCAACAGCAACCCAAATCAGTTTCCAGGTGTTCCAAAGGATTGGCGTAATGGAGACTGGCTCTGCAGCTGTGGATTTCATAACTATTCATCTCGTACTCAGGTAATTATTTAATTACAAAATACGCTAATCTGGTTCAGTCAATATCATAGTTAGCCTTAGCAAATGTTTCTCGATTTTGGCCATGCGCTCTGAACTTTAATGTGTTTTTGGTTCTACTTTTTTCTGTAATGCTTTAATGCCCTCCCAATCTCTCTTTTCCAGTGCAAAGAGTGTGGTGCACCTGTACCATCAGGCATTCCCTCCACAACAATGAAAGCTACATCTGATGCCTCTTCCAGTAAGACAATCAGTTCCTCAGTTCCCACAATGTTCTTTTTTATTTAACCCATTCAACATACCTACTCCTCTGTTGGAGTAACTGTTCCATGCTTACCATTCCAATAGGGTGCATGCTGTGATTGCTTGCCAGGTGTGTTTTAGTCACTCTAATTGTCAATGCTAATAGATGAGTGCTGTTTTCACATATGTTGGGTATTTTCAATGCCAAATTCTCCTGAGTTACACTGGTTAGACCGTTGAAATCTGTGGGCTGATGAAACTCCCATCACCAGTCTAGGTTCCAAGATTGGGTGTTTGTGGTGGTGGGTAATTGTTTGTTTGTGTGTGTGTGTTGGGGGGCGGGGGGACTTTGCATATAGATTATTGTCCGGTGAACGTTATTCGATTTTGTGATCAGCATAAGGTGATTGTAAATTTAGATCCATGATTCATTCAGGGCCTGTTCATTCTCTGTTGTTATTCTTTGTTATGCTTAATGCCTTCATGTAGCATCACAGTTACTGCTCCTGTTAATTTTAGTATTGATGTCAACAGATTATTTCATCTTCATTCTCAATCTCTGCTTGTTTCAGCATTAGGAACTAAGCGGTTGGCCTCAGAAGAGCTGGCCAATGACTGGGATAATAAAAGGCTAAATCCAGGAAATGACAATTATCCACTTTCAGTATGTATTTGTATCCCTCTTTAACTGTTGTGACTAATTGCCTAAATGCTTTGTGGTATTGATTTTCTTGTTTAATTTGTTTGCAGACAGCAGGTCCAAATAATTTGTTTTTGGGTATTGAGCAAGGAGCTGGAAGCAGCAATGGCCAGGGTGCTTTTTCCAAGTTTGACAATGGGAGCTCAATGGCATTACCATCTGGGCAAGGAATGTCTGGTCTTATGGGAAAAGGGTACAGCTTCAACCTAAAAAAATCAAATATACTTAGTTGCAAATTAAATACATTATATGAATTATAATCTTGTATGAACTTCATCAAATTGTTGATAGCGTTAGGATTTAAGGCCAACAATCAAGTGATACCAAACACTCGTGTAGTCATGTTTGATGTTCATCATCACACTAGAGGTTCTTAGAGATTTTATTATTTGCTAGATAGTGTTCAGGGTAGGAAAATACTAACACCTCGAGAATAACTGAAACATTATACATCATAGAATGTGTATGGGTGGGGCAGGGGTTTGGGGGTTTTCTCGACCTGCATGAGGTCTTCTTAGCAAAATGCCCGGGGGCTGTCTTACTCCCCGCAGGTTGAGGTTTTTTTTTATACGTCATAGGAAATAGCTAAGTGGAGTTGGCTTAGAAGGTTTGAACTGTAAATAGTTTTGAATAGGTATAGTTGCAGTAGAGAAAGGAAACTGAAAAGAAAGTTATGACCCCATGGCTGATCAACATTAAAGGAAACTGTACCTAAATAAATCTGGTGGAACATTGTCATGGTCGGGCGCACGTATCTGAGAAGGCGTCGGGCCCGTGACGTGCGCCGCGCCCTGGAGCGGGCAGCAGCCGCGCAGGAGGAGGCGCAGGGCATAAGCAACGCTGGTGGCTAGGAAGGAAAGTAGGATAGCTTTCTGTTATTTGTTCCTAAGATTAAGGAGATTGTTGCTCCTTTTAGTTGGGCCTTTTGCCATATATTATTGTAACCACACGTTGGAAATTAATCAAGCATTATCAGCCTATCTCCTATCTCTTTCTCTCTAAGCCGGCAACTAGGGGGCATAACCCGGTTGACGAAGATGGCGGCGGCGTGGGGGCATAACCCTGCCGGCGACGACGGATCGCGACTACGAGCTTCGTAGTCGAGGTCCAGCTATCTTGGGCGTCACTGCCCTTGACAAACATTTTGAGAAAACTAGGGGCAGCGAGGGAATGGCTTATATATATGAAATTTTGTGGGGTGGTAGAGAATTGTGTGCACCACCATTTTTCCAAGTTCATATGTTAATTGGCATGTCCGTTTATGTTATTTTTTTTTTAAATGGGCGTTTTTACTGTATAGACCCCATTTTAGGAAACCTCACAATAAGTTGTAAAATTTAAGTTCCATAACTCATGATCAAGGTTCTGCCATTGTTCAATGGACACTTCATGAAAATTTCTGGTTTGTGCAAATATGTTTCGCTGGCATAGTGCAAGACTTGCATGAATAGTTTACTACCATCTGACAGAATCTGGGTTAGCAAACTGTATCACATATGCTCTTGCATCTTGCTAGGGCAAAATGGCGCGATGGGGACTGGTTGTGCAACAACTGCAACAATCACAACTATGCATCTCGTGCGTTTTGCAACAGGTATACATTAAGGCATCTTTTTGTTTAACTTCACTGCAGTGCATTGTGTTAGTAACTCAACATTTAATAACTGAATATACAAGTCTCCCTAGATTGTCGTGTTTTCTTACTCAGTCAAGTGTACCAGTTAGCACCATACTATCCATTGACATGCTGTGTTGTTTTTCAATCTTGTACTAGGGGCATCCTTGTGACTTTTGAGGTCCATAGTAATGTTTACCGAAGCTACCATAATGGAGAGAATTAAGTGTCACATGATTTGTTCATTATTTTGCCTTTATGCTCATATAAATGCTGAGGTGTTCCTATTAGCTAATTAGTCTTTGATATTGTAGCAAAATGATAATATTTCTACCATTGTAAAAGATTTATCATCTGAATATCTCTATTCTTAATCTTAATGAACTTTGGCAAGACAATCAATACAAGACTGCAAAACTAATCCGTGCATCTGTGTGTGGGTGTGTCGTGTGTTTTTTTGGGTGCGTTGTACTTAAAGTTTTGTTCTTCTTAATGCAATGATACACAGCTCCTGTGTATTTGAGAGAAAAGAAAAAAAGTACTGCGAAACCAAAATAGGAAATAAAATTTGTCTCTGTTTATGACTTAAAGATTTGCATTTAGTTTTCTGTTGTTTTCATTAAAATTTGCAATTTGTTGCTCGGGTTCTCATACTATTTGAAGAACCCTAAACAAATTTATGGTCTTGTATTGCTTACTGGTTGAAATTCTTATGTTCTTGTTTTAAGATCGAAGCGAAACAAATTCCTTCTGTATAGCATTGGTTTTGATATACCAATTATTTTGGTCAGCTGGGTCCATACCTTCCAGAGCCACATCTAGGTTGGGTTAATATGAATTGTAGATGGTATTGCTTACTGATTGAAATTCTTAAAAGTTCTTGTTTAGATTGAGTGAAACAAATTCCTTCTCTTCTGCATAGCATTGGTTTTGATATACCAATTATATTTGGTCAGTTGGGTCCATACCTTCCAGAGCCACATCTAGGTTGGTTTAATGTTAATTGTAGATGGGATCTTGTCCTGGCTCCTGAATAATATTATTCACGATGACCTTGGTCATATTTGACAATGAATTTATTCTTCCTGCAAAAGAAATCGGTGCCTCACTGCAATTATTCACTACTAGGATATTTTCGTCTGGCACTGCCTCTAATACTGTTTCTCTATTTATGCTAATTACTGTTTGCTACTTTGCTATCTATTTTCCAAATCAAGCAAATTGCTCACTGGTTCTGACTGAAATTACCTTTGTGTTTCAGGTGCAAAACTCAGAAAGAATCTGCAGTTCACCCTGGTGTGCTATAGCTTGCTTGCGCTGGTTCATAGTGTTGGATTATTTTGTTCCAGGATATGTTGCTGCCTGTTCTACTTCCTCAAGGCTGCGGTTTGAGTTTTTTCGACTCTGCAGTGTTTTTGCTGCTCTCAAATGGTTGTCTCAATATTTCATTAGTGCTTGTTGAAGTTACTGATTTATTTATGGTATAAGCGCTTGAATAAAATGTTTCCGGAAAGTACCGGCCTACCATTTGGATTTTGGCAAATAATTGAAATAGTTGTTGTACAATGAGGCAAATGGTGATAGACTCTTCTTATGTTGTACTTTATGAACTCTGGTGTATTAGTGCACCAAATTAAGGTTTTGTGGTCATGTTTCACTCGTCGGTTTGAAAAGGGGAACTATACCATGTAATTTCAGTACAGATTATTCTCTTTCTGAGAACTCCAATCGTGTTGTTATGTAAGGCTCTGTTCGGCTGCCATTATAAGTCGGCTTATCAGCTATGGTATAGTATTTTTCTCTCCCAATAAATTAGCCGTACAAATTAGCACAAAACGGCTTATAGACTAGCCGAATAGAGCCTAAGTTTTGCTCATTCAGAGTACTTTTGATGCATTCACCCGTATTCAGTTGTTACTTTCTCATCCCATATTCAGCTGTTACTTTTTCATCTTTTATTTTAGAGAGAATTATGAATTTGGCACTAAAAGAAATCACTCTTCCTTGTATAGCACTCGAAAATTTGAACTTTCTTATCTAGCACCAGCTTGAAATAACGTTTCGTAAATGACACTGCTGTCCATTTTGGAGACGAAAATAACCATCCGTTAGTTGACTGTGTTTACCTTGTCAGTTTGTTTGGAGACGAAAATACCCCTGCCGTCCGCCCACTCCCTCTGGACACCGGCAGGCGGGTCTCGCCCGTCAGCTGCCGATGCCATCTGCCCCTCCCTCAGTCACCGACAGGTGCCCCCCACCCATCAGGTTCTTCTCCCACCTCCGTCTGCTCCCTCCCTCTCTGATGCGTGCGCAAGCCGCCGCCCAAGGCTCAACGACCAAGCCTCCCGCGAACACCGCAACCGTGCGACCAAGCCTCCTTCCGCGTCTCTACGCCACTGGAGCAACCTAAATATTAATTTTACCCTTTAATATTAGGTGTTGAGTACAGATAAGGTCTTGCTCTGAGTAAAAATCAAACACCTAAAATGCATGCAAATTCGTCAAAACAAAATGTCTCGGTTTTGGCCGATGGTTTGTTTTTTCAAGAAAAAACTGCAGCTATGTGTCATTTTTTCTTTTGTCATCAACACAACAATCAAATGACTGCTTCATTGATCTTAAGCACTAGTAGAATTTTAATTTGTTATTGTTTTCGATTAACAACGTCATTTCTTCCTCAACTCCGGTACGGGTCCAACGTGCTTAGAGATTTGTTCTTTTGCAGTGGTATTTTCATCGAAGAAGGATTGGGCTTAGAAAGGCTGTGGGCCTGGAGAGGCCCGACGACGATGACGGTCATGGAGACGGGGACATGCAGGGCATTGGCATCACGTCATGGCTAAACTTGCTGCCATGGAGGATCTTCATTGAGCGGCTCTGAAAATTGCATTGGTGGTTGTTGATGATTGCCTTATTTGGAACTGTGGAGACCGTCATGGATCAAGTGCCCATTCGCAGAGCATTAACCGAGGATAATTTGATGGCTTGGCTTAACATATATATAGTAGCTAAAATAGCCAATGTTCAACTTTCAAATAAGAAGGATGTTTTTAACTGGGATCTACGTAATCATGGTCAATTCTTTGTACGGTCAATATGTACGTACTTGATAAACCAGATACCCTTTTCACTAATAAATTCATTTGGAAATTGAAGCTCTCTCTTAAGATAACAATCTTCCTTTGGTACATCTAAAGAGGTGTTATCTTAACAAAGAACAATTTAGCTAAGAGAAACTGGACTAGTAGCCAAAGGTGTTGTGTCTGTGATGGCAATGAAACAATAAAGCATCTTTTTTTTATTGATGCCATGCTAAAACTATTTGGAATATTGTTCATATTGCTATTTGGCTAACCCCATCTAGATCTACTACTAAAAAAATGCTTAGAGGCCGGCTCACGGGCATTGTGAGGGAGAACAAAAAATATATTTTTGTGGAGGCTACTGCTATTTTAGGCAATTTGGCGTACTCGTAATGACATTGTTTTTGAGAAAAAACAAAATATTTCTTTTTATACAGGCTATTTTCAGAGGAGCAAAACATTGGAGGTTATAGCTTTGGGCGTGGCTAGCGCCGGACGTCTAGACAGACAGCGTCCATCCACGCCTGCAGCCCGCCCTGTCGGCCTCGCCCGCCCGCACACACACCCCACACCCTCGTCGCTATGCCCATGGCTCCTTCCCAGCAATCCCGCTCCTCTCTCTCCGCGAGGCGGGAGTCGGGATGAGGACGAGAGCACGCCCCATCCGCAGGACCTAGGCGCTATCGTCCCAACCGGCCGGCACCGGCTCGCCGCTCGCATGATCCCCGGCGCTCGGCCGTGCCCCATGACTCTCTGAACAAACCTCGACGATGAAACACTTGAATACAACATACGTCTAAAGCAGATGAAGCATTTGAAACATACACTTGAAACATGTGTGTGAAACATATGAAACATTCAGATAAAACACTTGTAACTTGCAACATGAAAGCACTTACTGCAACAAAAGACTGAAACAACTGAAACCATTGGAACATACTCTTGCAACATGTGTGAAACATATGCAACATCAAAATAAAAAACGCTTAAAAACAGATGAAACATTTTGAACAAACGCTTGCAACATGCCTCTAAAACACTTGCAACATATGCAACATCCTGATCTACTTTTGCAATATCCACATAGAACACTTGCAACGTACCTCTGAAATATCTGAAACACTTGAAACATACGCTTCCAACATGTCAGGCGCGACACTTTAGTGGGTGGCGATCACAATGTCAGGCACGCTGAGGAACTTGGCCTCGATGGGCAGATCGAGGATGGGAGACGGTGGACCGAAGAGCACCATGGACTTGGCCCCCTGCGAGCTTCTTCCGCTACCGGGGCGCGAGGAGCCTTGAGACGGACGCGAAGTATGGTACGGCCACAACGCCCTCGCCGTCTCCAGCCCCAGGAGGAGGAGATGAGGAGGACGCTGGCACCGTCGACGGCGATGAGGGTTGATGGGTGGGAGGCCCGACTCCAGTGGCGGAGCCTGGCGCCGCGGAGGCGGGCAAGGGCTAGGGGCCGGAGGAAGCGGAGTGGAGCTTGCGCGGCGAGCGCGTGAGATGGAATGGGATAGATATATTTTTTAATTTGGGAAGGCGACGCCCGGACGGTTTTTTTATGTGGGAAGACAGTGCCTGGACGGACGAGAAAATCCTCATTGTATCATTATCTTATCGCTTTAGGCCTTGTTTGGATGTAGATGGATTTGCTTTGATCCACATATGTTGGGGTGGACTGGAGTGGAATTTGAACTAAATTTCACCCAACACATATGGATTGAGGTGAATCCGACAACATCTGAACAAGGCCTTAGACGTGTTTGTCAAGAATGGTTATTGCTTTGTATATGATTTTCTCCTATTTGAGTGCTCTTTTTTTCTTTATTTTGTAAGCAAATAAGCTGACAACATTGTAAGACTTGGCTGTGTGCGGTCGTGGAGGCCGAAATTTTTACATTTTCTAAAAAAAAGGTAGTCCGTAATTTCAGTATTTTTTATTAACTTATTAAGTTTTGTTGACACTTATCATCTCCTGAAGCTGTGTACATAAAGAACAAGTTACATATTTGGAGAAATTACAGAGATACGAGGGGCAGTCTTATTGAGAAATATGCATGGACTCGGGTAGCGTGAGCTGCTGCTGCTGCTCACGTTTCTGGTCGGGGGTGTGGCAGCAGTAGCAGGCGTCGCCGTGCATGAGGCTGCACCTGCCGTGGACGAAGCCATGGTCCTTGCAGCAGTTCATGCACTTGCCTGATTTCCAGCACGACCCCAGGCAGATGTCGAAGGCGATGTCGCACACCGGGTCGTCCGCCGTCCCGCCGCCATCAACCTCCGACGAAGAAACCACCTCGTCAGCTGAACATGCATGCATGATAGATGCATCACGTACATATACATATATTCCACGGACTGTACGTACTTATGAGCTGGAGTAGCAACAAAAACGGATTATCATCATCGATCCAGCATAGGTTAAGCTGCATGCTGCTCTGCTTACATGAGGTGATGATGACAAGAAGCAGCAGCAGCAGCGACAATGGCACGAGCCTCGCCATCTTGGTTCATATCAAGCTTCCACATATGTCTATCTCTTTTGCTCTTATATACTCCCACCATTATCTATTGTTAGGCGTTTAATTTGGTGTTTTTCATTAATTTTTGACGTTAAGTTAGGCGTTTGGAATCAAATTACAACTGTCTGCATTTACTCATTCGCAACAAACCGAAGAGTTTTCTTTGCATGTGACTGGTGGGTTTATTTCATGGGGGCTACTAAACGTCGATGCATGCATGCAGAGAAACGGCGCATAGTGCTCAACGCCATTTACGTAACTCTCAAATTCATTGGTATTTGAAAATATGCAGGGCTATCAACAAACAGTTCGGACACATCAATCGTGTGAGTTTGACGGTTCAGATGCTGACTGCAATGACATTCTTAGCTATAGCTTAGACCCTGTTTGGATCAGTTTTGGATTCTTAAAAACTAGTTTTTTTGCCTCTAGTTTTTAAAATATGAATTCTGAGCAAAAACTGGTGAAGTGTTTAGATCCCTCAGTTTTTAAGAATCTGCCTTCATTTAATTCTCTATGGGTTAAAAAACTAGTAAAAACTGGGTATCAACAGCTTCCTGAATTTTAAGAATCTAACAAAAACTGGAGGGCAAAAACTAGATTGTTTTGGATCCCACCCAGTTTTCAAAAACAAAATTCTTAAAGCTAGCAAAAATGATCCAAACAGGACCTTAGCTACCCCGGGGTAAAAAAGTT